CAGCTATGTGGCCAAGGTTCCCGCTACTCCCTTCAGGGATCAGGTGGTGAACTCATCCGACGTGACGTCTCCGTTCCCTCCTTCAGGGAACGAGGGTTACCATACGTAACCGAGACGTTCCTATAAGAACTGCAGGGGGTTTGTGAGGTGATGAAAAGCTAATAATCAATGAATTCACAAAAATGTCAAATTAAACTAATTGTGTGGATTTTCTGTGTAATTATAGTCACCTGCTTAGTGGCTGGTGTGTACAGTTCCATAAAACTGGAAGACTTTCCAAAAGTATATAAGCGGTAGGATTTTTTAGAAAGGAAAATTTGAGAGAAAAATGAAGAAATAGGGTGAATCAATAAGTTAGGAATAATTTACTGCCACTGTGTAAACAATATGTAACCCAGTACTGTGAATACCCAAAAATTCTGGTCATCATGTTGTTTTGAACCTATATGACTTTCTTTTTTCCTTTGAACACAAAAGAGGAAGCTTTTGAATGGTGCTGCTCTTTTCCATAAAATGAAAGTCTGTGAATTGTGACTAGAGGCTGTGAAGCTCCAGAAACTGTATCCAAAAAAGTAGCCAAAAAACGAATGCACCCGAGTCTTCTGAAGCCATACGATAGCTTTGTGTGAGAAAGAAAACTGAAACTTTTATAATTATTATGAAAATAATTTTCATTTTTGGGTAAACATTCAAAGCACCTTTTCAATACCACCAACTACTTGAATGTAATTTTGGTCCTTACAGGCTTAGCATAAGGCTCACCTTCTGTCTACAAAATCCTCAGCAGAGATGAGGACGGACAGTACACTGTGTCCTCCACTCCAAAGACGAAGAGTGTCTCTCAGAAGCCCTGTACGCAGCAGAGTGGAATGTGTAATGCTCTAACGAGCACAATGACAAACAAAGGGTGTGAACGATTAATCCACTTAGTTTTGCTGCGTGTGTGTTTCTATGATTACAAAGATGGGTCGAATTAAATTAACCAAGTGATTTTTCACTGGAATATGACGCACCGCACGTGTACAAACACTTAAGAGTTGTAAGTTGTTGAGCTAACACTTGAGATTAGGGCTGCAACTAGCAAATATTTTCAATAATCAAGTAATCTCTTTTTAATATTCCAAATAAAATGTATTATGCTTTATGATTATTGATTTTTTGTGTATTTATTATTATTTTTATTGACTTATGCTTTACTTTTTTGATTACATGCCAAATTCTCACTTATAAACACTGTTTAAGGTTGGGGTTAGTAAGAATGTAATGCTTTTGAAAGAAGTGCTTACTAAGGCTGCATTTATTTATTCAAAGTTACAGTAGGACCAGTAATGAAATATAGTTGAAATATTATTACAATTTAAAATAACAGTTTTCAATTTTAATACATTTTAATATGTAATTTATTCATGTGATGGCACAGCTGATTTTTTTAGCAGCCATTACTCCAGTCTTCAGGGTCATATGATTTAATTTGCTAATTTGGTGCTCAATAAACATTTCTTATTATTACCAATGTTGAATACAGTTGAGGTGTTTAATATTTTGAAAACCGTGATCTGTGCTCTGTTTGATTGACAGGCATCATTACAGATTAATATTTTTTTAAACCGTGGTTGCAGCCTCACTTGAGAGCTTCTAAGATATAATTCCGTTTCTGCAGGTTATTAAGAACATTTATAGATTAAGTCACACAACAAAATACCCACAAAGCACACAAAACAGTCTTTCTCTTCTATTGCCAGTCTCTGAAGTCCACTCTGTGTCAGTACATTTTTAGCGCACTGGCAGTCCATATCTTGGCTTGCCTGTGACATTGTAGAGTGCGCAAATGTTTGTATGTGTGTGTGTGTGTGTGTGTGTGAGGAAGTTTTGGGGGGCTGGGCAGTCTGCCAGGGCCTTTGGGCGACATATCGCCATCTGGGAGGTATGACCCTGGAACTGCGAGGTTTCTGTGGAAACTGGCTGTAATAGAATCATGACTGGGGTGCAGCAGAGGGCAGAAATTGTAAGAAGCCCATCTCGATGGCTCCTTCGAACCGTCAGGCTCGGCTATGCGATTCAGTTCGCCCGGCGCCCTCCCAAGTTCAGGGGCGTCCACTTTACTTCAGTGAAAGCAGCAGATGCCCCTGTCTTGCGTGCAGAGATCGCAATCCTACTGACGAAGGACGCAATAGAGCCGGTTCCTCTGTGAACGATTAATCCACTTAGTTTTGCTGCGTGTGTGTTTCTATGATTACAAAGATGGGTCGAATTAAATTAACCAAGTGATTTTTCACTGGAATATGACGCACCGCACGTGTACAAACACTTAAGAGTTGTAAGTTGTTGAGCTAACACTTGAGATTAGGGCTGCAACTAGCAAATATTTTCAATAATCAAGTAATCTCTTTTTAATATTCCAAATAAAATGTATTATGCTTTATGATTATTGATTTTTTGTGTATTTATTATTATTTTTATTGACTTATGCTTTACTTTTTTGATTACATGCCAAATTCTCACTTATAAACACTGTTTAAGGTTGGGGTTAGTAAGAATGTAATGCTTTTGAAAGAAGTGCTTACTAAGGCTGCATTTATTTATTCAAAGTTACAGTAGGACCAGTAATGAAATATAGTTGAAATATTATTACAATTTAAAATAACAGTTTTCAATTTTAATACATTTTAATATGTAATTTATTCATGTGATGGCACAGCTGATTTTTTTAGCAGCCATTACTCCAGTCTTCAGGGTCATATGATTTAATTTGCTAATTTGGTGCTCAATAAACATTTCTTATTATTACCAATGTTGAATACAGTTGAGGTGTTTAATATTTTGAAAACCGTGATCTGTGCTCTGTTTGATTGACAGGCATCATTACAGATTAATATTTTTTTAAACCGTGGTTGCAGCCTCACTTGAGAGCTTCTAAGATATAATTCCGTTTCTGCAGGTTATTAAGAACATTTATAGATTAAGTCACACAACAAAATACCCACAAAGCACACAAAACAGTCTTTCTCTTCTATTGCCAGTCTCTGAAGTCCACTCTGTGTCAGTACATTTTTAGCGCACTGGCAGTCCATATCTTGGCTTGCCTGTGACATTGTAGAGTGCGCAAATGTTTGTATGTGTGTGTGTGTGTGTGTGTGTGAGGAAGTTTTGGGGGGCTGGGCAGTCTGCCAGGGCCTTTGGGCGACATATCGCCATCTGGGAGGTATGACCCTGGAACTGCGAGGTTTCTGTGGAAACTGGCTGTAATAGAATCATGACTGGGGTGCAGCAGAGGGCAGAAATTGTAAGAAAATGGGTAGAGTCAGAGAGCGAGCGACAGAGAGAGCGAGAGTGGGGGTTGCTGTCAAGTGCCCTGTTTGGAGCAGCAGGATTAAACCTGGCACGTAGGGAAGCACATTCAAGGTCAACTAAGAGACAGCAAAGGAAAAAAAAAAAAGGATAAATGTGAAAAGCATGAGCTACAGTAAGTATGGTGTTTAAAACATACACTCACTGTAGCTGGTTTGCTCATGTTGATATTTATGGACTTCCGTTGACTTATGAGAGAAGTGTTATTGTGCTATATGTATCCTCCTTAACACATCGCTCACGATGAGACAAACGAATAGTTCACCCAAAAATGAAAATCCTGGCATTATTTGCTTCTCTTATGAATATTCCAAACACAGCTAGAACGGAAGTCAAGATTTACAGTGAATAACGATCACTTTGTATCATATGGCTTCAGAAAACTTGGAATATAGCACATGACTCATACAAACTACTTTTATTAGACTTTGATGTTGCTTTTGTGTCTTTTTAAAGCTAGAAAGCCTTGCTTTCCATTCTTTGTAACTGCATGGAAATAAGCGAACAGCACAATTCTTTAAAATCCACTTTTTGTGTTCTACAGAGGAAAAAAAGTCTGAAACACCTTTTTTGGATTAACTGCTCCTTTAAATCATTGTAATTAATGGTGAATGTTCATACACCAATATTTGAATATTTAAGTATATTGTCATAATAAAAAGTAATTTATTTTAAAATTAAAATGTGTCACCAAAATGTAGGCATCCATCCCTAATGGAGAGTTCAAAAGACTGAAAAAGTGAGAGATGCAAAGAAAAAGCGAGAGAAGCAGGTGCAACTTTGTTACATGCAGATGCTAATAAAGTGGATAATATATATATATAGATATTTTTTTATTTAACAGATATTTTCCACACTAGACTTTTCACATCAGCTAATGACTCAGGTGTGCTTGAGACTAGCTGTTCGCAATAAACTTACACTTCATACAATTCCCTACAAGACAAGACTGTAGCAGTACACAAGGGAAATGTTACACGGTTATGCAGTTTGTGATATAATTTTAGCTCATAATTCTTTATTGTCTAGCGTGCAGTCACTCCACAAGAACAGCAGAGGGTGTAGCAGTAGAAAGACATTGCTGCTTATCTAATTTGGTTTTAAGCAGCCAATCTGCCCAAGGCTTTATAGCTAACAATAGATGTCATGTTGCGCCCTAGGGATGGCGATTCTTTAAGGGAAATAAAAACAACCGCACACACACTAGACTGTATTAGGTTTCCAGTGCTTTCATTAACAAAAAATGGTTGATATAATTGATGATCCGCCACTGGACACAGATTGTGTAATGCATTTCAAACAACAGCAATTTCAGACCAGCTACTTTGTCATCGGAAAGAAATTTAGTAATTGTGGCATCCTGACTACAAAAGTCAGATGAGTAATCAATACATGTTGGGCGGTAGGCGATGAAACAGTGAGAGCGAGCACTCAGATGTTGGTCAGTTTCAAAGCACTCTAAAGAGAGTCAGCAAAAGGGAAGCTATTAAAACCACTGAAGGCCTGTGGAATATCATGAAATCATAATATAGCACAAATCTGCTTTTCTCTACTGCAATAAAAGGTCCTGGGAGCAATTTTTTTTATAAATGTGTCGTGGTCAAATCACCTTTAGCACGCAATCTTATGTTTACGTGTGTGTGTTGACTTACAAACTCTGCCGTAGCTCTGCTGTGTCTCTGGATGTTCCCAGCGATTGAAGGTTCTTCTCTAGTGTTACCACTGAAAAGAACAGACAGAAACTTCTGTTTTTAAATTTGTTACTTTCACCTCACGACTCATACCTTATGCCATCCAAGTTCTGATTATTTGGAGGCTTTTTAAACTCACCGTTAGCATTGATCTGAAAGATGTTAGAGGAGGTTTCCTGGAACACATCTTGCAGCTCTGAGGGACTGATTTGCGTAGCTGTAGAAGGAAAAAAAGTATTTACATATTGACAAAATTTTATTTAAATTGTAAGCACAGCTTTTAAAGATGATGTCTGGTAATTTATTGGATGTTAAAATAGTATCCCAGCCAATTTATTCTAAATTAGTGATATTAAAACAAATAGTTATATATACACACACACATGTATATATTTTTAAATAAATTAGTGAGCAAAATATTTACTTCTTTCAAAAACATAAGAAATCATTTTACAAACCACTCATTTTTGGTAGAATATTTATGTATTTATTTATTGATGTATTATAAATAGGATAAAGAACTTTGTAATTAATTATAAATATGTATTCATTATAATATACACAATACATCATTTATTTTTAGTTATTAAAGCAATAGGCCACTTGAGGCCATGCGTTTAGGCTTTAGGAAACTATCACTATAATTACACAATGCTTTGACTAAGATTATGCATATAGTTTCTCTTTATTTAGCTGGCACATCCTATTCATGAGGGTCTCCATATTTCAGCTAAGTGAAGCCAAACAAAGCAGAATCAAAAACACACCAGGTTTCTGGGCAGTAGCTAGAGTCGTGAGCCACCAAAATGGGCGTGTGGGCACAGTCATTTTCTTCATCAAAAGCATGTATCATGCACACCCTTATAGGAACAGGTAATCATCAAGAGCTCTTAATAAAAATCCACTGCACAACCTCTGTATCAATGTACAACCCACTGGTCCTTTGCACATGCACACAAATATGTCGTCTCTCAGCTTTTGTCTACCTCTGCACTCAAAATGATTGTAATTGACGTGCGGTTTTTCACAACTCTTCATCTGTGCTCTAATGCACTCACTCTTGAGAGGGGAAAATCGCAGGCAATCATTTGCGCATATGCATATTCTACTCTAAGAGAGGGTTTGGATTTGGTACAGAAGACACAGGTAAAGACAGAAAGGAGGAGGAAAAGGGAAGAGCAGCAAATATTCCTGTCCATGATTCTTGTTGGTCCACTGAAGCATGCACCCAAAATAACTCCTCGAATGATTTTTTTTTTTACAAATAAGAGAGAACCCCTTCAGGAAGAAAACAAGAACTCATGAATGCTGCTCGGGAGGATGCTAGAGGGAGTCGAAACCCCCATTTATTTCTACAATCATGCTTCAATTACCATTAAAGCAGAATGTTGACAGCTTCATGGCATCACACTGAGATTCAAAAGTATTAGGAAAAAATAAATCTAAATTTAGCATTACATCACTCGCTCACCAATGGATTCTCTGCAGTGAATGAGCGCCATGAGAATGAGAGTCCAAACACCTGATAAAAACTTCACAATAATCAACAAGTAATCCACACGAGTCCACTCCATCAATTAACACCTTGTGAAGTGAAAAGCTGCATGTTTGTAAGAAACAAATCCAACATTAAGGCGCTTTAACTTTAAACCATCGATTCTGGTTTAAATACCAGAATCATAATAATGATTCCTCCAGTAATAAAAATGTCCATTTACTGTTGTCCTCTCGCTTCAAAATCTACCAACATATTTATTTAAACTCTGTGTTGAGCTGTTTTCACTTGTAAATGGTGGTTGTTCTGTGCATATTTCTCTCCTGATTCACATGAGACAACTTTTTCAGCTGGAAGCAGATGTTTGTGAGTTAAACTTGTAATGATGTATTTTTTTTAACAGACAGCTCTTCACTTCACAAGATGTTAATTGATGGACAGGAGTCATGTGGATTACTTGCAGTTTATTATGATGTCTTTATCAGCTGTTTGAACTCACATTCTGACGGCACCTATTCACTGCAGAGGATGCATTAGTGAGCAAGTGATACATTTCTCCAAATCTGTTCTTATGAAGAACTCATCTACATCATGGATGGCCTGAGGGTGAGTCATTTTTAAGCAAATTTTAATTTTTGGGTGTTATTTCTTTAAGAATGTTTCATCATAAACAAAAGCCTCAGAATAGGACACATTGTTGACTGTAACAATGAGCTGACTTGTATAGGCAATATCAGTAAATATTGATCATCACCGAAATGTTCTCAATGCTAAAACATGATAAATTACATTAATAATCAGTTCAAGAGCCAGAAAATGCAGACTTCTTGACATTGCACATGTGAATAATAGTTCAGCAGATTAAAAATAAAAATATTTTAGGTGTGAGTATTACATGACAGCGAGAAGCGTGTGACATTATCTATTGACTGCTTCCATCCAGATGTGTTTGTGTTTATGTGTGTGTGTGTGTGTGTGTGTGTGTGTGTGTGTGTGTGTGTGTACTACAAAAGTGA